ACTGCCCGGCCACGTTTGCCCGTATCCGGGCGTTCTACGGCATATCCACCGACGCGTACGTGAAGAGCCTGATGAAAACGACAAAGGAGCGGCTGAGCGAAGGCGCGAGCGGCGCTTTTATGTTTTTCTCGGAGGACCAGCAGCTGATCGTCAAGAGTATGAGCGAGGGCGAGGCGTCGTTCCTGCAGTCGATTGCGGCCGACTACGCGGCGTTTCTTTTGACGCATCCCGAGAGCCTCCTCACCCGATTCTTTGGGTGCCACTCGGTGCATCTCTACGGCACGATGTTTCATTTTGTCGTCATGTCCAACCTCTTCTCGGACCACACAAAGATCATCCATCGTCGGTACGACATCAAAGGGTCGTGGGTGAACCGATCGGCCAAGCAGCCCACCAAAGGTACGACCGAGATGGTCTTTGATTCCCACTCGCGTGGCTCCGGGCGACGCTGATCGTTGCGCATGTAGGCAAGAAGGTGACGTGTCGCCATTGCAACGGCAAGTACGTGTTTGGGTCTGTCGAGGGCAACGTGTGCCCCCTGCGCGTCGGCACGCACGAACCGAACGTGATTTTGAAAGACAACGACTTGACGCAAAAGGTGCGGCTGGACCCGGTCGTCGCCGAGGAGCTGTACGACCAGATCACGAAGGATGCCGGGTTCCTCTGCAACCACGGCATCATGGACTACTCTTTGCTCATGGGCGTCCACAACGTCGAGTACCGTGTGTCGGCCGATATCGACCTCTCCGGGCCCATGCTCGACAACAGCCTCCTCCTCAACCCCAACATCACGCGCGGGTCCAAGCCGGCGCAGCCCACGGCCCGCAACTTGAGTATCGGCGTTGGGGACAGCACACTCCTCGACAACGAGGACAGCGACGTTCATTTAGACGATGACGACGACACCCGAGCGCCGATCCGGGCCACAGGTACACACGGCACCGTCTCGAGAATGCCGACTCGACTGTGTGTAGGCACTCGCAAGGCCAACACGGTCGTCGGGCCATCGTGCTACTACTTTGGTATCATCGACATTCTCCAGCTGTGGAACTTTGACAAGAAGCTCGAGCGCAACACCAAGGTCCTTCTGCTACGAAAGGACCCCGATGGACTCTCGGCGCTTCCACCGACAAAGTACAAGGACCGATTCTGCTCCAAGATGGCCGACATCTTGCGCGTCGGTGTCCACGATGAAGCGTACAAGGCTGTCAACATGTGGGACGAAGCAGAGCCTAACACGCACCACGTGGTGCCGGCCACCGACGACGCTGGCCTCGAGCCACGTGAGGCCACGTCCAAGCGACTGTACCTTTAAGAATAATACATCTAGGTATATTGCACGACGACGACTCAAGCGACCACCGACACGGCGGCACGACGAATGGGGGCACCAGCCACACCTCCAACTCGTCCCGAGACAGACATCCCTGCAGGAGCAGCCGCGGCCACTGTCGAGTTGGCGGCGGTGGATTGGTCTAGCTCTAGTCTTGATGCGAAGTGAGAGGTTTGAGCCGGCGGCCGACGGGTAAAGTCGGCGGAGGCGAGTGCCGCGGGGTCGACGCGACACAATGACGGCGCTCCGCCAGCAGCGTCGTCAATTGATCGTGCAGGACCGCGTGCTTGGTCTCCGCCAGGTCGAGCTCGTCACGGACGGCGCTCGGCGACCGCCGCCTCGTGTCGTCATCGTTGTACGAGGCGGCATGGGCGGCAAAGTGTTCCTTCAACACTCGGTCCTTGGTCTTCAAAATGCGCTTGATCGAGGACGGCACGGCGTTGATCGAGAGCGTCAGCGTCACGTACAGCAAAACGAGGACGTGCTACAACGCCACCCCCCCCCGTCAGCACTGACGTCCCAGCGAAGCCAAGACGGTGGCGACGTCTCCCGCGAAACTCGACATTGTACCTCGAGGATGACAAAGATCGCAAACCGGTCCGTGTTGGCAATGCAGTGAAAGTTGGGGACCATCGGGGGGAGGTGCTGCGCGTATTCGGTCGTGACCTGCAGCTGCATGCACGCGGGAAAGAACGACTCGAGGAGCCCGCTGGCGTAACAAACCAGCGCCACGTTGATAAAGATGGCCCAAATGTTGTTGAAACGAAGAAAGAGGTTCCACGATCCCATCGAGCTCGTCCGTTGGGGAACGACTCGCTGTGACGCGTACGCGAGCTACACAAGGATGAGGACGATGGCGGTCCCACCTCGACGCCGACGACGGGCCGTCAACACGGCGGGTCTGCGCGATGCCATCGCGTACCTGGAACGCCGACGACCGGACTTCAAACACGTTGTTGATCACGGCGCACAACGGAATAAACGGCCACACGCACGTGAATTGGAGCACGTAGCCGAATTGAACCAACGTGTCGGCGTAATCGGCAAACGTGTCGTGGGGGCTCTGCACAATCGTGCGGACGTGAGGCGCATGCACAGGTCGTGGGTGCGTACCTGGCCAGCTTGTTCCAGGACACGATCGAGAAACCATTGCCGCTGTTGCTGGAATGCGATCGAGCTACCGCCAAAGCTGCTACGACGTCGTCCGGATCGAGTGGGGTGATTCAGGGTCGACGAGGTCGGCGACTTGCCGTCTGTGGAAACGGGTTGAGGGGACGCCAGAGCGGGTGGTGGACTCGGTGATGCTGCGTCTTCAGTGGGTTTGGCAGGCGACGTCGCTGCGGGCGAACGGGTCGTCGTCGACGACGCAGCCAATTTTCTCGACAGTTTGGGCAGACTCGTGAGGATGTCGGAAATCCGCGTCGACGACTTGGACGGCGTCATGGGGGCCGCCGTGGATTTGTCCTCCCGGGTGAAGCTCTGCGCAAGCGTGTTGTGGTACACATCGTACAGGCCCTTGGCTTCGCTGGCCTTTTTTGCCGCGTGGAGCAAAAAGTACGGAATGAACTTTTCAAACACGATCTTGAGCCCTTGCGTCGCGACCAGCGGCGTGATAAACATCGTCTGTAGCTCGAGCAGCCCTGGCTCGTAGCTCGATGTCCACGGGAGCAAGTTGTACTCGTTCACGAGCGAGCTAAACTGGGACCCGTACGGGACGTACACGAACGCGCACATCCAAAACCACGAGTAGATGCCAAAAAAGTCCCAGAGAAACACCTTGAGCGCCCGCGATGACTCGTACCGCTTCTCGGTCGGGTGGTTTTCCCACTGCGTGAGACCGACCGCGATGACGCGAAAGATCTGGTACTGGATGATGTCGACGACAAGGCCGAGGAGGATGCCTTGACAGAGCACGAGGACCCAGTTCTCGAGGCCGCCCGTCGAGCAATTGCCGCCACACCCGGCCTTGAGGAAAAAGTACAAGTCGACAAACCCGATCGTGATGACGGTCTCGCCGACGAGAAACACGACCAAGACGAGGTACCCCACAACGTACTTGAGGCGGCGGCTCCACTTGATGCCGTTCACGCCGGCCGACGGCGGCGGCGGTTGAAAGTGCGGGTTCGACACATGCACGTGCTCTTGCGCGCCGATGCCCCACTTGAGGCGCAGTTCACTACGCCGTCGCTTCCAGCAGATCAGAAACAGCGTTGCCCACACCGTCGACACGGCAAAGCCCGTGATCGCCGCCAGACGAAAGTAGGCCGTGACCGAGAATGCCGAGATAAAGTAGATGAAGAGGCCCCACGCCGCGAGTGGCAGCAGCCACTTGGTGTAAAAGTCCATGTAGGCAAAGTACAACGCCGCCTTTTCGCCAAAGTGCAGCCGAATCTTCTCGACCGATGCCGTGTTGTCGCGAAAGTAGGCGCGCCACTGGAGGAACCACTCGGTCAGGTACACTTTGTTGAACATGTCGTCGTGCAGCGGGAACGCTTTGAACGGGCATGTGGGTTGCAGGTCCAGGAGCCCGAGGCCGCCGTGGCGCCGCGAGGCATGGAGCAATCGATCCACGAGCACGATCCGATCGGCGGACGTTAGTTTGCCGTGCTGCTGCGGCGCGAGAAAGTGCTCGCCATTGCGACCGCCCGCGACCCATCGCTCGATTTCCATCTTGGTTTGCATGTCGGCCAAGATGGCGTCAGGAGCGTGCAAAAGGAACACGAGCTTCAAGTGCGGCGCATGCTTCTTGTACACTGGTCGCGACTCGAGGCGGACGAGGAACCCCGCGAGAGCCAGGCGCTTTGCGAGGTCTTCCAGTCCATGGAGTACGATCGGATCAAATGTGACAATCGTCGATGACACAGAGCCGTCGGGGGCTGGAACCCGCGGCACTTTGACGAGAATGGCAAAGTGAAACGTGAGCGCGAGTGGTGGCGTCGGCGGACCGCTTGTCGAAGCCTGAACAATGGCATCATCCACGTCGAGTTCGCCATCCGTCGACAGAATGAGTTTGTTCGAACTCGACGTCGACTGGCGGTCAAGTGGAGGCATGGGTGGGGAAATGTGCATCGCGTTGTTGAGATGAGCGTCGATTGCTACGTCCACGTGAGGTGCCGACGGCGCCGTCGGTTCAAGGTCCTACCGCCAGCGTCAGCGTGCGCATCGTTCGGTGGGCCTCGATGAGCACGAAAAGATCAAGACGTACGTTATCGAGAATGTCCTGGACACAAGCGTCCAAAGCATCGTCTTCCATGGACGTTGCATGCGCGTGGGTGGGGACGCCGTGGTTGCCGTCGGACAGCGTCGAGTCCCGACACGCCTCGAGGTCCATGTGGACCATGGGCGTCCTGCTGCTGCCCTCTGGTGCAGTCTCGACAGAGCAGCGCACATCCGACGCCATCGTCCGCCACCGTGCCGCTCTCGGGGCCGTTGTGTGAGGAATGACGGCCGTTTCGACGCGAGAAACGAACCGCCGTTACCAAAAATCCAACGCTTTTGCGACCGCACATGACGATCGTCCATCACGACGCTGCACGATGGTGACGTCGCAGCCGCAACCATGCCGTCACATTCTGCACCATGCATGCTCCCATGCTGCACTTGGGGTCTGGGAGGACGCATGTCGAGGCGCATGACAGGTTGGTGCCCGCCCATGCCATGGGACCCCATGCGCAACTTCGGTCCGCACACACATGCTGAACCACCTTCACCACTGCATGGCAGACGAGACGTCCAGCATATTCACCGCCACCCCTCAACCTCTCAATGACACCGACAGAGTCCTCCTTTCATTCCCTTGGCTGGCTGAAGGCTCTGTGCACAACGATTATCGCATTAGCTAGACCTCTCAGTCTACGTCCCTGCGGCTGCTCTCAACGTCGGTTCTTGTGGAGCGTCCATCTCGTCCTCGGGATCGCCCCCCCTTCCATGCAACGACCACACCAGCGCAGGGAATTCTATCGTGTTGAACCATGCTATCGACTGACGTGTGCGAGGTCGACCCTTATTCATTGTCGTCGTTGTCGTCGTCGCCTTCATCCACGTAGTCTTCATCGTCGATATCGTCGCCATCGTCGTCGAGAATGGCGCTACCATCGATGCTTTGGACTTCACTATCGGCCTCGGTCGCTTCTTTGGCGGCTCCCGTCGTCCACAGTTGACGGCCTAAGCCATGCGTCAGGACATTCTTGGCCAGATTGTCTGTGCTCACCCGTGAGCCGCTTCTCGGCGCCAACTGCAATCTTCGCCCCACTCTTCGTCGCCATTTCCAAGTCAAACGCCGCTTTCCACGCGTTAAACGACTCGACTGTCACTGGCGTGCCGGACGACGGCTTGGACACTCCCTTCGATTCGGCTTCCTTCTCCTTGAACCACCGCCTCACGTTAGTTTCATTGCAACTGTGCACCGCGTTTCGCACCAAGACAGCCTGCGCGGCCTCGGCGGCGATTGTGTCCTTCTTCTGGCGCTGTTCTTGGCGCCGCAGCATCTCCTGATACTCGGACCCATCCTACGCTCACATGGATTGATCAGGCCCGTGAACGGTCCCAGTGAGACCTACGTTGCCTTCGCGATTGTTTTCGATCAGGTACTCACGCACGGCCTCGCAGACGGTGTACACCATGGCGATTCCAGTGTTGTCTTCCATCTAGTGGGGATCCATCATGAGAACGACGGGGTGAGGCTCGTCCCGATGAAAAGTACTTGTTGATTCACGAGTGCTCGAATGTCTCGTTCCTGTGGCTCGCTCAACCCTTTCTCGAGCTTGATGTCCACCTAAACAAAGTTGTGTACAAGGACTTGCGTTGCCGTAGATAAACGCCATGACGCACCGACGGCAGCTCGTCAGGGTACTTGGCAGGCATTGTGAACACGAGACTCATAGCAACTGCATCATGCGTGCGTGAGGAGGTCACCATCCATCGGTACAGGATATACCATGATTGACGCCACCGGTTTGGTCTGGGATGAGTCGAACCTTCAAGGATAGAGGGGACTCTTGCACCTCTGTACAGTGTTCCGCGTCAACAGCACTCTTCCCGACGCATGCCACGTACTGGTGAAGTCGTCCATGTAAATGGACTCCAGAGCCTCAACTTCCATCATCTGCTCTTCCACATAGTCTGCATTGCACACCGAGATGAGTCTCGCACCGCCGGCGCCGCGGCCGTACCTGTCATGTGGTCCTGTGTTGGCCGGTTTTGTCGACGCGGTCACTCCATTGACCTGTCCGGATAATGCCCTTGTATCCGAAATCCACACTTATCCGGCAATTCCGGATGCACACCATGCACTGTAGTTCAAATGTGATGAAAACAAGCGCACACTTGCACTCTGGCGACGTCATCGACACCATGAAGCACGTCGTGGTCTTGGGTGGCGGCATCTCGGGGCTGTCCTTGGTACATCGGCTGCGCAAGCACTTGCCTGCATCTGTGCGCATCGAGCTTATCGAAGCCAGCAGTCGCGTTGGCGGATGGATCAAGACAAAGCACACTCCACCGTTTCTGTTTGAAGCTGGGCCGCGCGGATTCCGCCCGAGCCGCAACGGCGCCGAGATGCTGCGTTTGGTCGAAGAACTCGGATTGCAAGATCAATGTATTGCGTCGGCAGGCAGCAGTCGCTACATCTTCACCCACGGGAAGATTCAAGTGCGTGAGGGCTTACACTTCACAGCGACGATGATATTGATTCCTGATCGATTCTGTGCGTCGTAGAAATCGCCATCGTCCATCCTCGAGTTCCTACAGTGGCCGTTGGCTTGGGAAGTTGTACAAGCGGTGTTGCGTGAGATGGTGGTCCCCCGGACAACGGTGTGTTCCGCCGAGATCATTCTGCATTCGCCTTGACCAATTCGTGTAGGCAATGGATGAGTCTGTGTATACGTTCATTTCACGGCGCTTTTCGCCAGCCATCGCCGAACGGCTGCTGGACCCGATGGTGTCGGGCATCTTTGCAGGCAACATCCGGCACCTGTCCATGAGGTCGTGCTTCGGCCGGTTGTGGGATATGGAGCAGTCGCACGGGTCGATTGTGCGCGCCATGCTCTTCCACGGAACCCCCATGCCCACGACTCTTCTCGATGGTACCAAAGTTTCCTCGTTTGTGGAGGACGGCAGCAAGGCCATAAGCATGAGCTTCACGCACGGCATGCAATCGCTCACCGATGCTCTCGCTACTCACATCGAAGTACGTCCATTGCACCACGACGTTTCCTTCGTTTGTGCGCTCATCTAACAATTTTCAGGCTTCGCCACACACAGACATTCGATTGAATACGACTGTCGAATCTCTGACTCCGTCCTCGACCACTGCCAAGGCCAGCGGCGTCGCTGTCCGCGTTCGAGATGCTGGAGCAACTGCCGCCGAGACCGTCGTTGCCGACCATGTATTTTCGGCCCTTCCTGCGCATCGATTGGCACCCCTTGTGCACGCCGCCGCGCCATCGGTCGCCACGGCGCTCTCCCGCCTCCCGTTCACGTCGTTGGGGGTTGTGACGCTCGGATTTGAACGCAACATCATTCAACGCCCAGGCTTTGGTTACCTCGTCCCGTCGTGTGAGAAGGAGGGAATCCTGGGTGTGATTTACGACTCGAGCTCGTTCCCCCAGCAAAACTTTGGCAAGAACGTGTCTCGGCTCAGTGTCTTCCTTGGCGGGGAGAACCATCCTTCCGTGGCGGCCATGCCACGAGCGAAGCGCGAAGAGATGGCGCTCGAGACTATCCAGCGCCACTTGGGCGTGTCAGACACCCCCGTCCACGTCGAGAGCACTTGGTACGACCACGCGATCCCGCAGTACCCCGTCGGGTTCCACGAAAACGTGGCCGAGCTCGAAGCCGACGTCGCCGAGACCTTCGATTCTGCATTGACTCTGGTCGGCAACAGCTTTTACGGCGTGGGCCTCGCGGATTGTGTGCACCGAAGCACTGCCGCTGCACTGGCATTCGCAGCGTCTCACCGAAGCGAAGGATGTGTATAACCACGAGGAGAATTCGGCCGCGTGGGAGCGGCGCGAGGACGACTTTCATGGCGCCGCATCGGATTTTCTCTTGAGTTCTAGCTGACTTGGATAATACAGCATATCATGCAATTGGACCTTGGAGACGTCCTTACTATCATGCAGGAAGCCCTGGAGAGGGAAGGCACCATCACCGATTCGAGGGCAGGAGGCACAGCTCGGACATACTCCTCCAGGAGAATAAGCAACGGTGTGCCAGCCGTCACCGCTTCGAGAGCAGGAGGCACAGCTCCCTCCAGGCGTGTCAGGTGTTCCAATGCGCCTGTTGCAGCATGTAACGCTCGTGTCCCTTCGTCCGTAACGGCCACCATCTCGGCAGTTTCACATCGGGACGGCAGCGCCGCCATGTCGCGAACGATACCTGCGCGCGCGCTGGACCCTGTGTATGGTACGTCGCCGGGGTAGATGGAGTGGTTCCTCATTGTTATGGTGAAGATCCGATCTACACGGTGTCCAACACGGGCGGGAAATGGCGAGGCGTGCATCATGGCCGCCGTGGGGGTGGAGAGGCCGGCGTTGGTATTACCTCGGTGACCGTGGGGTTTGAAGCGGTCAGTGGCGCCCAGCGCGCCAAGTACTCGAAGCGGCCGATCTTGCCTTATGTCCAAGCCATCCCGCCCGACATGTATGTGCACTTTATCATCGCCATTGCTCCATTAGGACGCTTCGTTCGTTGACGGCGTGATGTGGTGGCAGCTTGCTCGCTCCTGTGCCAGCTGCGGCAGGGCACCCGCCAACCAACGGAACCAACCTCGCGGGGTCCCCCACCACAAACGACGACCTCGAGCCAACGCGAACCATCGGCATTCAGACTATGTACCGTGATTCAGAGGCGCAGACAACTCCGTACACGCCGGACTACACGATCAAGGCCGGCACGTCGCCCGAGATTGCAACTCTCACGAGTTTTTCGTATGAAAATGGCCTTCCCGCGGGCATGGCCGAAGTTGAGCTTATCCAGCGGAACCGTCAAAAGCGCGCGTTTGAGGAATCCCTGCCGCCCATGACGGACGAAGCATCGTTCGAGCTTCGGAAACGCATGATGGAGCAGCAGGAAAAAGCTGAGTGGGCGTTCCGTGAGGTCGAGATCGACCGAGTGCACGACCAGCGCCTCCAGTTGCTTCAAAAGGCTCTCGTCGAACGCGACCACGAGAACCAATTCCTTGCTGAGCAGCGCATCGAAGCGCTACGCCAGCGACTCACGGCCGAAAAGGACGACTCAATCGAGCGGATTCAGCAGGAGCGCGTGACGGCGCTGCGGAAACTTGCCAAACGCCGCGCAGCGGCGCAAAAGATCCACCCGAAACGAGACCTCAAACGAGACATCATTGGCGAGTACACGGCGTACGGGTCAACGGTGTATGCACCCGTGACTCGTGCTGGCAAGTCCGGCAAGCACGATGTGCATGAAGTGGGGCTGGCCCATCTTCACGGCCTGGACGAAATCCAGGCGCTCGAGGCGTCGGTCGGGTCCAAGTACCTGGCGCCATCGATGTACAAACCGCCGACAAAGGTAATCAAGACCGCCAAAGATCGACGGGAAGCTGCCATCGAAGGTCATCTCCTCTCGATGCAAACCAAGATCGCCCAGAGCAAAACCGCAGACGACCGCCACGGCGCGTCAGGGAAACGTCCCAAGTTCAAACCCGGCGGCGCAAACAACCTTCGGCCGCCGACGCCCGTGTACGCCGTCATGGACGACGACGACGCAGTCCATGACGCAGTTCGCCTTTTGCAAAAGCTGCTTCGCGGCCGCGCGATCCAGAACACGATGTATGAAGGCAAAGGCCGGCGGGCTGAGCTCATCGAAGAGCTGCGGGAAGCCGGCGAGCCAGGCAACACAATCGCGCCGCCGCAAGAAGATGCGATCGTGGCTTTGGCAGGTGATGCGACGGTCGCCAAGGCGCAGGGCGAGGTCGTGTCCGAGCTGCTCGACTTCCTTGCCAAGGAGCTCGTTCGCGTCAACGAGCACATGGCGCTCAACGAGTTTGTCATGGACACCGTGTACGAACGGCGGAAACGCGAAGTCATCGAAGGCGGCCGGCGCCATGCAGAAGACATGCTCCGAAAGCGAGAAGACGTCGTGTTCCGCGCAGTCCAGCGTGTGCATGACGAGACAGCCGACGACTTTGTCATGGACGTGCTGCGGTCTGTCGTCCACACTGGTACGATTCCCACAACCACTCGCGTTGTCCTGGAGACGTCGTGGTTGACCTATTCCATTAGACGCAACGGCGACCGCGCAGCACGAGTTGGGTGTGCTCGGGAGTGGGCTATCCAGGGCTGTGGACGCGCTCGAGGCCAGTGGCACGTCCGACGAAGGGGTCGTGAAGGACCTCCTGGCGTCGTTCTTGTTTCCAGAAGTGCAGCGCCGGCGCGTGCAGGAGCAAGTGGAGCGAGAAGAGCGAAAATTTGTCACGGCCGTCCATCAAGCGCTTCAATTACCCAGCACGTTTAGCAGCTCCCTGTATTAAAACCCGTCTGAGGTGAAAAACACGTTCTTGTCGTCCGTGGCGACGACGTATTGCCACAAGTCCGTCGAGAGGTTGTGTCGCTGTATCATAAATCCGCAGTCCTCTGAGATGACGGTGTCGGCAGGAGGCGGTCCTGTTGATGGAAGGAGTCCCAACTCGATGGCCACGGGGACGGGGACGCGGTCCGCCATAAACGAGCGACCAGGGGCGAACGCGGCCACCAAATGCACCGCCACTGCGTGCGACGTTTTTGAAGCAGGATATACAATCAGCTCATCGATCACGACGGCAAGTGCAGAGTCGGCTGGCGTGGATTTACCAAACGCATACCCAACCAACTCGCCGTTCTCATTCCACGCCCCAATTGACTGAATGTTTGAGCGGCGGTGGCGGGATGCAATCCAGCGGCAGAAATATGGAATTGACCGTTGAATTGGTCCGTTGAACGATGGCGCCACGGTGTGATAGAGATCGAGGAGAGCAGAGGCGTGGTCGGCGAGGTTTTGGATCGGAGAGAGGCGTATCGTCGGGGGAAGCGGAGGCAATGGAAGCTCCACTGGAAAGGATGCAGTTCTCAAAGGCATGGGGATGTACCCGACCTTGCGGTAGAATCCACCGAGCCGGTCGGCATCTGTGTGGAGGGCCGACATGTCAAATGAAGCCAATGGTCCATCGAGAGCAGATTGGAGTAGCTTCGTCGCGAGACCTTTCCCGCGGTACTCTTCCTTCGTTGAAACTTCGGCTATCCCACCCATGGAGACCAATTGCCCACCAAAGAACTGCCGACGTGGCACGACCCGCACAGTCGATGCAATCGCGCCATCGTCATCAGCCACGAGGATATTGTTCATGTCCTCCAACGCGCTGCAGTCATCTTCCAAGTGCGAGATAAAGTATGCATCGGAGTCGTGCTTGAATAATTCCGTACAATGAGCCACCCACGCCTTCACTTCATCCTTCCTCAGCGCTCGGATCGTTATCGTCATGACGATTGCAATGTTATCCGGATGTCACCGCGGAATCCGGATATCACTGGAGATCCGGATACGGGGTGGACACTTCGCATATCCGGATTTTGAAGGCCCATCACTGGCCGACATTTGCATTTTCGGCAAGATGGGACCGAAGAAGGGAAACACGAACTCCAAGGTGGAAGCGGCGAACCAGCGCAAGGTACTGAGGAATATCGTCACACTGGTGTCAACGTCGACTGTCATCATGGCTGTGTAGGCGGCGCAAGAAGCCGAGAAGAAATCCAAGAAGTCTGCCCAAGACGAAGCACGCGCCGCTGCCGAATGGTCTCAAGGTGCCGATGCTCGTTCGGCCAAGCGCGCGCAGGATGAAGAATTGAAGCGACAACAGGCGGACGCCAAAAAGGCAGAGCTCAAGCGATTGCAGGAAGAAGAAGAGGCTGCGATGAGCGGCATCAAGGCGAAAGCCAAGACAAAGGCACAAAAAGATATTGACAAGCCGTGGGAAGCTGCATTGGCGCCGGTCGCGAAAAAGAACAACAAGGGCAGCCGTGTCCCTCCTCCGCCCCCCAAAGCTGTCGCGGTCCCTGCTCCGTCTCGACCAGCAACGCGCGACGACATTGTTTTCGACGAGCGCTCCGACGACGACTTGTTCCAGAACCGAAATCGCATGCAGTCCGACGTTTTGGAAGGTTTGCTTGGCTAAGCTCGATGCGATCGTCACGTTGGGCGTGCTGTTGTAGCTACAACGATCGAAGGAGCGTTGGACTTGCTGGGAGTCAACGACAAGGACCCTGAGCGCCACCCCGAGCGCCGCATGAAGGCGGTGAGGCACTACTGCGTTTGTGCGATGAACACTCACGGTGGCATGGATGTAGGCGTACAAAGCTTTCGAAGAAGCGACGATGCCCCAACTGCGAGAAGACTACCCTGGACTCAAGCTGTCGCAGTACAAGCAACGATTGAGTGACATGGTACGGCGAGTTGTCATGGTGCCTTCTGAGACGTGGTGTCTTAGTGGCGCCGATCACCGCAAAACCCGCTGAACCAAGAAACGGTATCGTACAACGCCAAGAAGATCTAAACGGCTGCGTATGGCGCAGCACCAGCTACGAGCCCCACGTCGACCGCTCGAGGGCTCCCTCCACCATAGCAATTCGTCATCGACATCGGGTCATTCTCTAAAGTAAATGAATGGTGTCATTTAAATGACCTACTTTAGATGATCAGTGTCATTTTCTGTCCAGGAGTCCTGTGAAACAATTGTCTATTCAAAAGTATAAATGAATGATCTATTGCATGGAGTGTTGGAAAGCGCACCAATGAGACGACTCGTACTAATTTTGCACAGGACAAGATGGCGCGCCATCAAACGGTGCTTGATGAAGCATTCAGGATCGGGATCGAATATGCCGTCTGCATTGGAGAAGCAAGCCCGCGCTGAGCTCGAGAAATCAAGCATCGTGGTTGGGTATGACCACCTCAACTACTCGACATCGGCGAAGGACATGAACGCGCTGTCAACGTCGAGGCACTTTCATGCGTCCAACGACCCGAATCGCCTGAAGCATATCAAGGAGGAACATCGGGTGCGCCACTTTGAACTAGGCGACACGAACGAAAAACCCTTGAGCTATGACACGAGCAGTAAGCTGCAGGACCCGACAGGTGAAATGCAAAAGTACACTGCCAAGTTGAACGTCGATGCTCGCGCGATGCTCATGAAGACATCAGCGATTGTCGGGTACGAGAAGTCGCAGTTCACGACGTCAACCAAAGCCGCAACGCAGTGGAATCGCGAAGACATGAAGAAGGCGATCGCGATGCGGGACGAAACGAGATTGATCACAGGTACAGGTGTATTCTCCGATCCGACGTCGACATGTGATGCTTGTTTAGGGCCGAAAAAGTGTCCATTCGTGTACGGCGACGACGAAGTGAGCTACGTGTCCACAGCAAAGGGTACGATGAACTTTGACCAGAAAGACGCCAAAGTTGCTGTGATGGCTGCCGACGTCAAAGATGGTATGCATATCTCTCAACGTGTGCGATGAAGGGTGCTATCTCGCTTCCTTTAGATTTGAGGAAATGTCACTACAGCTTTGGCAACGACAAACTGGACTACTCGACGTCGAGCCACATTGCGCCCATGTCGTCGGATGCATATCGCGAAGCCTCGAAGAAACACCCGCCGTTGAACGACCCCCGGAAGGGCAGTGTGCATTTCTCCTAGTTGGTGTTGAAATGCATTTTCCGACGTATCGGTCTCGGCGCTTTTGTCCACCGATCCGTGATTCCGTTTGGGATGGTTCCAAACGCCCATCATGCATGCGATGGGGTTCCGTGCACCAGATCGAAGCCATCCAACGTCCCTTCATGGGCGGTGCATCTTCATGGCATTGAACAAACGGACCGACCGAACGACTGGCATGGCAAGCTGAGCACTCATACATGTCTTTTCATCGTGGTCTCGGTGTTTCGGAGTTGCGCGATTCGCTAGAATGAGCTGCACCGATGTGCGTGGTACCATATAGGTGTGCACCAAGTGTCTACGACGGGATGACGAAGGAGTGGCAAGGAACTGACCGCGAGCAACACGGCTGGCCTGCCACCGTCTCGGCGGGATGGAAACTTCGATTCTGGTGGTTAAATGGGGATCACTACAAGAGGGGGTAGTGCCGCGTGGACCAAATCTTCATGAGAATGTACATGCCAATAAATACGACAAAGAGACCCACGACATGGTACATCGCGGCCCACAACCCGATCCGCGCCTTCCGATGCAACGTGAGCTTGCGGTTCTCTTCCTCGAGCTTGGCCTGGTTCGCCTCGGCATCGGACGCAACTTGGTCGAGCAAATGCGCGTCTTCCTTTAGATTTTGGTTCAGTCCATGTGTCGCGTGCTTGAGGCGGCTCGACAGCGCCTGCAATTCGTTCTCAAGGGATTCCTTGACTTCGATGCTCTTGGACGCCGACAAACTGCGTCCACTGGTCGGTCGATTTGGTAACAACCTAGGAGACAATTTGTCAAGCACACCGACCGAACGAATCGAGCTAATACCCCAATTGATCCCGTATGGCGCTAAGCGAGGGCTTGGGGGGAGTTGACGACAAAGACAGATCGTCTGTCGAGAACGTCATGAAGTCGTCGTCCATGAGACTGAGCTTCTTGTCTTCCCAGGTGCTCACTGCTTTTCCTTCTACTTGAGACAAGATTGCACCGACGGGATCGTCGGAACGGTTGGATTGTCGAAGCAATTCAGCAACGTGGCGTCGTCGCCGCAACTCGCTCGTCGTAGGAAATATGGATTCATGAGTCGAATCACGGAGTGCTATCAGGTCGGATTCGATACCGAGCAACTCGTCGTGGAACGTTGAGTTGACGAGGGCGTTGTCGGTTTGAATTGCCGTGAGTGCGTGATGGACACACCTTATGAACTAGATAAGAACGCAGAGACAGGTGAGACGTCCACGCACAGCACATATATAGCACGAAAACCTTGGAGACAACTTCTTCGGATGCTTGCGACGTGCATGTGGCGAGAAACTTTCTGCATGCGTGCACGAGGCGCGTGTAGCGGACCGACGCCGTGGCCGACGTCATCTCGATTGTGTGAAACCTGTTATAACGTATATACTGTATATACATACAATTCCAATTTCCTGTGAAAACAAATTACCGTACTATTTAATACGCAACATCTACAGAATGGCGATGTTGTTGTCGGACCGGTGCGCGGCAATCGCCGTCTGTGCGTCATTGAAGTCCAAGTCACTGTCCTTGTCTTCCCACTTCTTTCGTCGGATGTGGACAATGGCGGCAAGGGCGACCCCAGCCATCACGCACCCACCCGCCAGAATCAAGTAATACCCCAAGTCCAATCCTTGGTCCTCCGCTTGGGCCTGGACTGAAATCTCGACGCCATTGGGAGAAGACGTCGACTGGGCGATTGAGAACGCGACAGGTGGGGAGGTTGTAGTTTCGTTGTGTAGGTCGTTCGCATCGATGGGAAGCGTCGTGGAATCAGACACCGGTAGGGGCACAGCCGTAGCCTCCGAGGTCGAGACGTCAGGTGATGGTGACAGCGTGGTGATAACTGAACCGGTTGTGGTGGGTTCCAGGGTTGAAGCGACAGGCGTGGATGGGGCCTTGGATGACACGGGCGGTGCAGCAGAAGATGGAGGAGCGGTGGAAGACCCATCCGAGCGGCCAAACTGTTTGCCGGTGGACACGCATCCATCCTTGCTCATGTCGAGGGTGGCCGTGATGGCGTCGCCGCCGCTATCCGGGGTCACTTCAAACTGCACTCTGGACAAGTCGAGCCCAGGGCTGGACTCAAGTTTGAAGTAGAACGCAGAGTCGATCAAGGACGTGGCTTTGCCGTTGATCTTCACGGAGCCGATGCCACTGACCGCACCGGCGGGCTGGACAGCAAACCAAAACGCGTTACTGCCAGGTTTTTTGCACATCGCAATGTCCGAAGTGTGGGGGCACGTCACAAACGACCATGTCATTTTCAATCGACCAGGTTCGATGCCGTTGGTGAGCTTCA